CTCTCTCTCTCTCTCTCTCTCTCGTCACACATCAACTCACACACACACACACACACACACACACACACACACACACACACACACAGAGGAAGAGGGGGGTGGCAACTGATAGCGTGTGACCAAACAGTGTGGTGGTGACTGATGAAGGGGTGGTGCTAAGATTCTAAAAGCTAACTCACAGCTTCCTAGAGTGTCAACAGAGAAAACCATCGAGGTAAGTTGCCAGCATTTTTTGTCTCCCCAGAATGCAAGAATCGTTGGGGAACTCACTGGCTTCCGGCCAGTCCGGCCTCGGGTTCGGCTAGAAAGAGAACAGCTTCATTTCGGATCTTCAAGGGCGGAGGTGTGTTGAGTCGAGGGAAGTGACGCCCGCCCCATCCCCAACAACAACCCCACCATTTCCCAGGAAAAGCCACTGACTGATGGAGATCAGGTGGTGGCCACCCCCTCTCATAAATGGGGACACCGGGATGAGGTGGGGAAGGACTGAGTAGAGAGAAATGGTATTTTATGCCAAGTGGCAAGACAGACTCGTGACCGTCCCTTGTCTACCCTGAAGCTCTTTGGATAGGAACAGCTTTCTCCGCCCCCCTGAGAAAAAAACAGGACTTCCGTTGGTGATGTCACCTTGCTTAAGTCAGACCACTGGTGACAGGCAGGGCTGTGTATAACTTGAACCCGACTTGACTTTGTAGCTGTGCTATTTATTATCTTTCCCGGGGGGTGGGTGGGGGGTGGGGTGGGGTGGGAGCTGAGAGCATTGACTCCATTGGTTATTCTGTGCCAAAGACACTGAGCTGAGCAAGTGTGGGCTGGAAGCGACCCCTGGACCAAGGTTACTCTTCTCCTCTTAGATAGGGGTGTGTGGAGGGTATGTGTGTGAACATTGAGTGCATGTAGACAGAGGGGCACAAGTGTAGGTGAGTGTATAGAGGGCCGTGTATGTCTCTACAGAGCTGTGTGAGTGTGTGGGTCACGATGATGAAGGGAACGATGTAGCAGATGTCCCTGACTTCAGGGTTTCACGGTTCCGCATCTCCTGTGCTAGGGGATGAAGCAAGAGTCTAGGGTACCATCCTACCCCTCCTCAAATACTTTCCCTTAAGCTAGTCCCAGGCCCTGCCCAACATCCCGCTAACACACTTGATGGAGCTCGTGGCATCGGGTTTCACCAAGGCTCTTTAGAAAGTTCCCGGTCTTCCAGCGTAGCCAGGCTTCCTGAGCACTCCTTGATATTCCTTTCTGTCCCTGACCGTCATCTTTCTTGCTTCTCCAGGTCATCCACAACTATGGTCACGGAGGCTACGGACTCACGATTCACTGGGGTTGCGCCATGGAGGCAGCCAACCTCTTTGGAGAAATTCTAGAAGAAAAGAAGTTGTCCAGGATGCCGCCATCCCACCTCTGAGGATGCTAGTGACCATCATTTGCCCCACGAGAACACCCCAGTGCTATACAATTAACTGACACCCTCTCCTTGATGATTTTGCAAACCTCTCACCTCCCCGGCTTTCTTAGGCAAAGGTGTGAGGAAACCCTGATGCTCCACTCATCCATCACGGCCTGGTCCTTCCCATGCATCCCATCTGGTAAAGCATCTGCAGGGATCCTGGCTGGTCCTAAACTAGTCTACACGAGACAGGCAAGATCTAAGATCATGTAGCAATCCCGTTCTCCCAACAGAACGATGGTACTGTGGCTGGTTGTACTGGGCGGCAGGGTCTGCGCTCAGTCCGTTAGGAGTGGTCTGGAAACCTTTGCTTAGAACTCTGATGAGTGGTTCGCCGCACATTTGATGTCACCGGCGGAAGGGAGGCTCCCGCCCTCGGCACTCTGCTGGTCAACATTATTAAAACACTCTTTGGATATCCAAACTCTCTTCAGGGTTGGTCCTAAGACATGCTTTCCTCTCTTTCCCACCACCACGAGGGGCGTCTCGGTGGTCTTGAGGAGACTTGATCTAGGTTGTACGTGTATGTGTGAGGGTCAGGGAAAGAGGGGGAGATCATAGCTCAGGACCTTGAGCATGCAAGGTAAGTGCTCCACCACTGACCGAACCCCACCGTCTTGAGACCTGAAATCAGAGAGAGGAGTGTGCAACCTTGGTACATTGAATGACTATTTTTACATTTGTTAATCTGTCGTGTCCATGTGTGTGGGCGTGAGCATCCATGGTCGTGATATCTTGGGGTCAGAGGACAACCTGTAGCAGTCAGTTCTCTCCTTCTACCCTGTGGGTTCCAGAGATCGAATTCAGGGCGTCAGGCTTGGCAGCAAGCACCCCCACCCACCGCGTCACCTCACCAGCCTACTGAACATCTGTCGACATTTTCTGAAATACTTTCTCATGTGGAGAGAAACGGATGACATCCCCACTAATACACAGGGCGTCTGGAACAGGGTGGCTTCAAATCAGACCCCAGCCCTACTGCTCCGCGTCCATTTCTGCTCCGGGAGCGTTTCTGAGGCATGGAGGCTCTGGGGCAGTCCTTGCACTGCTCAAAAACACTGATCTTTAAAAAAAAGTTTATTCCTTTTTTTGGTGTATATATGTCGGGGTTTCTATGTAGCCAGGGGTTGGACTTGAACTCACGATCTTCCTGCTTCTGCTTCCCAGGTATTAGTGCATGGAGTCATGCCCAGGTAAAGCAGAATCTGTCCCTCTCTCTCTTCCTCCCTCCCTCCTTCTGTGTCTCTGTTTCTCTCTCTTTGTTGCTCTGCTGTGTTTGCACGCGTGTGCGCACATGTGTGTGCAAGAGATAGAAAGAGAGAGTGCATGTGTGAGTGTTTTACTATTGAGGGGGTCTCATGAAGCCCAGGCTGGCCTCAAACTCACTATGTAACCGAGGATAACCTTGAGCTTCTGACCCTCCTGCTTCCCCCTCCCAAGTGCTGCGATTACAGGCGTGTACTTAACTTCAAACTCAAAAACACTTCAAGAGGCCAGGCAGTGATGGTGCAGGCCTTTAACCCCAGCACTCAGGAGGCAGAGGTAGGCCTCTGTGAATTCGAGGCCAGCCTGGTCTACAGATCTAATTCCAGGACAGCCAGGGCTGCAGAGAGAATCCCTGTCTCAAAAACAAAACAAAATGAAAAACCACTTGGGTAGAAACTACAACTCTCTTCATTGCAGGCCCCCAGAGAACACTCCTGCCCTGACTGCGAGTTTCTTCCTCACTGGAGCTGGGTTTCTCAGGATGAAGAAGTGAAAATGACCCGTTGGGGGCAGGGAGAGAGAGAGAGAAAGGAAGAGGAAGGGAAGGGGAGGGGGAAAGGATGGGAGAGGAGAGGAAAGTAGGAGAGAGGAGAGGGAAGAGGGGAGGGGAGGGGAGGGGAGAAAGGGGAGGAGAGGGGAGAGGGGAGGGGAGAAAGGGGAGGAGAGGAGAGAGGAGAGGGAAGAGGGGAGGGGAGGGGAGGGGAGAAAGGGGGGGAGAGGGGAGGGGAGAAAGGGGAGGGGAGGGAAGAGGAGAGGAGGCAAAGTGCAGGCTGCCAGTTGTTACTCAGGAGAGCTGAGCTGCCCAGAAAAACTTCAAGAAATTCCAGATTCAAGGAAATGTGGCCGAGCTGGGCAGTGGTGGTACACTAGGGAGCCCGAGACAGGAAGGTCAAGGGAATGGGGCTAGCCTGGGCTACACTGCGAAAGTCTGTCTCAATTATCAATAATAATAATAATAATAATAATAATAATAATAATAACCACCACAGCAAATGAAACCGTGACTGTAAGGACACGGTTAAAGGGCTGGACGCCAAACTGTCTCCATGAGGAAGCCACCATGTCCTCCTCCCTTTGACAGTGTCGTCTCCATCAAACTCGAGGTCCCGATGCTGCCCGCAGCCGGGTGGCTGCACCTCCCAGGAGAGGAGATTGTGTCAAAGCGCCACTTCCTTGGATGGACCGAGTTAGCCGACGTTGGGGCGGACTGTCACTAGACGCTGTCACCAATGACCAGACGTAGGCCCTGTCGTGTCCGTCACCAACGTTTTAATAAGAGATGAATGCACAACGCACACCCAGCTTCCTTGCAGCGTGCGCATTGAGCCGTGGGTCGGTTTCCTCTGGCCTTGGATGGGGCCTGGCGGTTTCCTTCCTTCCTTCCTCCCCCAGAGCGTTTCCTCCCTGCACCTCGGGAGAAGGCTCGTGTGTTTTGGAATCTGGGAGTACACGTGACTGCCGAGACCTCCCTCCAGCCCTTCCTCCCGAGGCCCAGACAATGGCTTTTCCCCTCCCCGCCAACATGGACTTCTCTGATCCTTGTGCCAGGGCATCCTCCCGGGACCCGCCTCTGCAGGGCCAGCGCTGCCCTCGACAGACTGGGCAAGAGAGAAAGCAGACCCGGGAGGAGCAGTGAGCTTCGGGCCCCAAGACTGAGTGGCCTGCAGCAGGGGCTTCACCCGGAGACCCCTCAGCCCGTGCAGCTGTCCTCACACGGCACGGTCCCGAAGCCTGAGTAAAGTGGGACTCGCCATTCAGTAGGGCTGAAGAGGGAGCCTAAACAGAGGGCCCAGAAATCCTTTTGCTGCTTCAGCCGAGACCGGCTTTGGCCTTGAACCTCCCCTCGGCCTCAGTCTCCAATTTCCAGGTTGGGGACCGAGGTAACAGCTTTCTGAGGCGATCCCCTGGTGGGCACCTAGCTCTCCCCAGAGACATAATAGGACCCTCTGCAGCCAGAGATAGCAACTCCAGAGGGAGGGGGGCCAGGCGGGGTCTGCTTGGCTCAAACCAGATGCACATTTATCTGCCAGTTTCCACCCGGCAGGCCCCAGAGAGACATCTAGAAGGGCCCAGCCAAGGAAGCAGTGGGCGTCTCTGGCTCCATCAAAGCTGCTTGGGCCAGACACTAGCTCACCTTAATTCCAAGGAAAGCCTGGGGCCAGGGAGCAGAAGAAACCTACTGGACGAAATGGCAGGTGTCACGGGAGTCGTCTGGGCCCGGACTGTATCTACGGAGCTCTGTGGGTGGTGGCTCCCCGAGGGTATGACTGGGTAACTATATGACATCTGCTCAGCTGGCCCTGAGCATCCTGGGACCCTCCTACAGTAGCAGTTTCCCCATGCAGATGCACAGTGATGTACAAACCTTCCCCCAACCAGAGAGAACCCCCCGGAGTGAATGCCACCCCGTCTTCCCGGGGTGGGTGACCCTCGATGAACATGGCCAAACACAGCTACGACACAAAACCCTGTTGGTCCACATCACCCTCTTGGGTAAGTTCTCGATGTCGGCAGTGACCGTAAGTGGCCCGGCTGGGCTCTGCCAGCTCCCTAACCTCAAAGACCAGCTCAACCCCCAGGGGTCGGTCATCACTCCTGAGAGCCAGAGTTCGACCTGGGGACCGCCGCACTGCTGGTCCCCCGACCAACCATCTCCTGGCCCCACTCCCGGTGGCTGGACTCCTGCAGTCCTCGGCCTTTGGTCTCGATGGGCAGAAAGCAGGAGGCCACGGCAGCCAGGAGGCAGCAGCCGCTGTAGACGGCCAAGGTCAGGTACACAGAAGATTCCAGCATCACCTGGGGAGGGAGAGGGAGGTGGAGAACATCTCAGAGCCACAGGCGGGCTGTATGACGGACAGCAAGCTGAGCACCTCG